TATCCAGAAGCAATAATGGAACTCCACGAAAATTGCCACCTTCCCCATTTGTTTGTAAAAATGCATCCTGCGTGCTCCCCATTTACCGAAAATCACACAACGTGATTTTACCAACGTATTATGCATTGGAACATTCACACACGTCGCGTCCTCCTGAGGGCCTCAACTTCCAACCTTACTTCGACTTCCACTGGTGAATTTTCTTCTCTCCCTCACACCAATCTCATGCCCTCACCGCCTGTGCTACCGCAGCACTTCATCGCCTGCGCGAGATCCCTGGATTCCCCGCAGGGATGTTCTTTTTAAGGTGCTGTATCTTTCAGTTGCCTATAGATCCACAGACTTTGTTTGCTCCCTTATATCTTGCAAGCTAAGTGCATCATTTTCACAGAAGGGTTACTTGCTTGCGTCTACAGTAGTTAAGTCAATAACTGGTGCAAACTCGATGGGCTAAAAACGCTCTTCCATTGCAAACATCTATCTTGTTATCCACTTGCTATTCACTTGCTTGCTATACACTGAGGTGACTGTGGTATCAATGAACGCTATCCCAACTTCGTCGGACTAGCCACCACACTCACTCAACCTTTCTGACTACCATGAGATGGGCACCGCAGTCAGGGTACCCTAAGTTCACGGTTGCTTGATCTTGATCACGCTTTGGGTCACTGACATCGCCAGCAGCTTCATTACCAATAAACTGATAAAGTAAGAACGTATCATCTAGGGATTTTTGCCCACAGCTGTTATAAACAGAATAACCAGCCCATTAAAAACACCGTCTGAAAAGCTTCACTTTCACCCAGGCCTACAGAAGGAGGAGAACCGCACACGTCACTATCGCAACTCGTAACGAGAAACCATTACTGGTGGCTCCCGAAGACTTCACCGGCCTTCTCGTCCATATTGCATCACTGTTGTGCGAGATCAATGTGCTTTCAGTACTTCTAACTTCACCGAAGGTGTGCCTGACTGCACTGTCTTTTACTGCATCAGCATTTTCGTGTGTTATACTGTAGACCTTGTGTAAAAACCATTGCCATTTCGGCTCAAACAGCCGTCCCGAATCTAATGCTGTACACCCTGGGTTCCTCACGGAATGCTTGTGAACCATGAACTCGAATATCATGCACCCTTTATTCTTGGTTTGCGTAAGCCACAAAGAGTAAAAATGTTACAAACCCGGCGCATGACGGTGGGAGCCTGAAGTGGCTCATATCCATATGCGAATTCTTGGCTTGGTGTGTGCAATTACTCCTCTTTTAATTGGCCATTTGCATTTATTACAACATTGACTGTGCCATCGTTTTGGTCCAAGCAATTCAACCCAGTTTTCCGCCACTTAGTTGACGGCCGTTTGAGTAAATAAGAAGTAGGCTAAAACTTCGATTTATAGAAGGCGGTGAATTTGATCCAGGGAGGAATTTCGAAACATTGGGAAGCTTGGGCGCCCTTATACCGTCCCTCAGCATGGTGGCTTTAATCATGCGTGATCGGAAAGCGCCTGATTTCTAGTTCAGATTCATCTCCCGGTAAACTGCACTAAGTGATTAATCGTTGCCACGCGCCAATCGCCACTCTCCTCTCATTATCCCCGCCCGAAATTCAAATTCACGGATTCACGGATTCACGGATTGATACACAGGATCGGGGCTTCTGTCCAAGTTTCCCGAATCGCTTTTGTTCTTTTCGGTCAGTGGCTGTCCTTCACCTGAAAGGCACAAGTTAAAAAAGGGTGT